TAAATAGTTGAAGGGGTACAACCTTATGCATCTAGACCATCCTGTAGCTAAATAGTTGAAGGGGTATAACCTCATTCATCTAGACAACCCTGCAGCTTAATAGTTTAAAGGGTTACAACCTTATGCATCTAGACCATACTGCAGCTAAATAGTTCTAGGGGTACAACCTTATGCATCTAGACCATACTGCAGCTAAATAGTTGAAGGGGTACAACCTTATGCACCTAGACCATACTGCAGCTAAATAGTTTAAAGGGTGGAACCTTATGCATCTAGACCACCCTGCCATTAGATAGGTCAAGGGGTACAAACCTACGCATCTAGACAATCCTGCAGCTAAATAGTTGAAGGGGTACAACCTTATTAATCTCGAAAACCCAGCAGCTAAATAGTTGAAGGGGCACAACCTTATAAATCTAGACCATCCAGCAGCTAAATAGTTGAAGGGGTACAACCTTTTTTATCTAGATCATCCAGCAGCTAAATAGTTGAAGGGGTACAACCTTATTCATCTAGACCATCCTGCAGCTAAATAGTTCAAGGGGTAAAACCTTATTCATCTCGACCATCCTGCTGCTAAAAATTTGAAGGGGTACAACCTTATTCATCTAGACCATCCTGCAACTAAATAGTTTAAGGGTACAACCTTATTCATCTAGACCATTCTTCAGCTAAATAGTTGAAGGGGTACAACCTTATTCATCTAGAGAACCCTGCAGCTAAATAGTTGAAGGGGTGCAACCTTATGCATCTAGACCATCCTTCAGCTAAATAGTTGAAGGGGTACAACCTTATTCATCTAGACAACCCTGCAGCTTAATAGTTGAAGGGGTGCAACCTTATGCATCCAGACCATCCTTCAGCTAAATAGTTGAACGGGGAACAACCTTATTCATCTAGACAACCCTGGAGCTAAATAGTTCAAGGGGTACAACCTTATTCATCTAGATCATCCTGCAGCTAAACAGTTGAAGAGGTACAACCTTATTCATCTAGAGTATTCTGCAGCTAAATAGTTGAAGGGGTACAACCTTCTTTATCTAGATCATCCAGCAGCTAAATAGTTTAAGGGTACAACCTTATTCATCTCGAACATCCTGCAGCTAAAAATTTGAAGGGCTACAACCTTATTCATCTAGACCATCCTGCAGCTAAATAGTTCAAGGGGTACAACCTTATTCATCTAGACCATCCTTCAGCTAAATAGTTGAAGGGGTATAACCTTATTCATCTAGACAACCCTGCAGCTAAATAGTTGAAGGGGTGCAACCTTATGCATCTAGACCACCCTGCCATTAGATAGGTCAAGGGGTACAAACCTACGCATCTAGACAATCCTGCAGCTAAATAGTTGAAGGGGTACAACCTTATTAATCTCGAAAACCCAGCAGCTAAATAGTTGAAGGGGCACAACCTTATAAATCTAGACCATCCAGCAGCTAAATAGTTGAAGGGGTACAACCTTTTTTATCTAGATCATCCAGCAGCTAAATAGTTGAAGGGGTACAACCTTATTCATCTAGACCATCCTGCAGCTAAATAGTTCAAGGGGTAAAACCTTATTCATCTCGACCATCCTGCTGCTAAAAATTTGAAGGGGTACAACCTTATTCATCTAGACCATCCTGCAACTAAATAGTTTAAGGGTACAACCTTATTCACCTAGACCATTCTTCAGCTAAATAGTTGAAGGGGTACAACCTTATTCATCTAGAGAACCCTGCAGCTAAATAGTTGAAGGGGTGCAACCTTATGCATCTAGACCATCCTTCAGCTAAATAGTTGAAGGGGTACAACCTTATTCATCTAGACAACCCTGCAGCTTAATAGTTGAAGGGGTGCAACCTTATGCATCCAGACCATCCTTCAGCTAAATAGTTGAACGGGGAACAACCTTATTCATCTAGACAACCCTGGAGCTAAATAGTTCAAGGGGTACAACCTTATTCATCTAGACCATCCTGCAGCTAAATAGTTGAAGGGGTACAACCTTCTTTATCTAGATCATCCAGCAACTAAATAGTTTAAGGGTACAACCTTTTTCATCTAGACAATCCTGTAGCAAAATAGTTCAAGGGGTACAACCTTATTCATCTAGACCATCCTGCAGCTAAAAATTTGAATGGGTACTACCTTATTCATCTAGACCATCCTGCAGCTAAATAGTTGAAGGGGTACAACCTTATGCATCTAGATCATCCTGCAGCTAAACAGTTGAAGAGGTACAACCTTATTCATCTAGAGTATTCTGCAGCTAAATAGTTGAAGGGGTACAACCTTATTCATCTTGATCATCCTGCAGCTAAACAGTTTAAGGGGTACAACCTTATTCATCCAGAGTATTCTGCAGCTAAACAGTTGAAGAGGTACAACCTTATTCATCTAGACCATCCTGCAGCTAAATAGTTGAAGGGGTACAACCTTATTCATCTAGACAACCCTGCAGCTAAATAGTTGAAGGGGTGCAACCTTATGCATCTAGACCACCCTGCAGCTAAATAGGTCAAGGGGTACAACCTTATGCATCTAGATCACCCTTCAGCTAAATAGTTTAAAGGGTACAGCCTTATGCATCTAGATCATCCAGCAGGTAAATAGTTGAAGGGGTACAACCTTATGCATCTAGACCATCCGGCAGCTAAATAGTTCAAGGGGTACAAACCTACGCATCTAGACAATCCTGCAGCTAAATAGTTGAAGGGGTACAACCTTATTCATCTCGACCACCCAGCGGCTAAATAGTTGAAGGGGTACAACTTTATTCATCTAGACAACCCTGCAGCTAAATAGTTGAAGGGGTGCAACCTTATGCATCTAGACCATCCTGCAGCTAAATAGGTCAAGGGGTACAAACCTACGCATCTAGACCATCCTGCAGCTAAATAGTTGAAGGGGTACAACCTTATTCATCTCGACCACTCAGCAGCTAAATAGTTGAAGGGGCACAACCTTATAAATCTAGACCATCCAGCGGCTAAATAGTTGAAGGGGTACAACCTTCTTTATCTAGATCATCCAGCAGCTAAATAGTTTAAGGGGTACAACCTTATTCCTCTAGACAACCCTGCAGCTAAATAGTTCAAAGGGGTACAACCTTTTTCATCTAGACAATCCTGTAGTTAAATAGTTGAAGGGGTACAACCTAATTCATCTAGACCATAATGCAGCTAAATAGTTGAAGGGGTACAACCTTATTCATCTAGACCATAATGCAGGTAAATAGTTGAAGGGGTACAACCTTATTCATCTAGACCATAATGCAGCTAAATAGTTGAAGGGGTACAACCTTATGCATCTAGACCATCCTGTAGCTAAATAGTTGAAGGGGTATAACCTCATTCATCTAGACAACCCTGCAGCTTAATAGTTTAAAGGGGTACAACCTTATGCATCTAGACCATACTGCAGCTAAATAGTTCTAGGGGTACAACCTTATGCATCTAGACCATACTGCAGCTAAATAGTTCTAGGGGTACAACCTTATGCATCTAGACCATACTGCAGCTAAATAGTTCTAGGGGTACAACCTTATGCATCTAGACCATACTGCAGCTAAATAGTTCTAGGGGTACAACCTTATGCATCTAGACCATACTGCAGCTAAATAGTTCTAGGGGTACAACCTTATGCATCTAGACCATACTGCAGCTAAATAGTTGAAGGGGTACAACCTTATGCACCTAGACCATACTGCAGCTAAATAGTTTAAAGGGTACAGCCTTATGCATCTAGATCATCCAGCAGCTAAATAGTTCTAGGGGTACAACCTTATTCATCTAGATCATCTTGCAGCTAAATAGTTGAAGGGGTACAACCTTATTCATCTAGATCATTAACATGTTGTGAGTCTGATATACCGAGGACAACCTTTTTGACTTTCAACAATGAAGTCGCAAATTCAATAGTCTTAAAAGCTTTGAAAATGGACATGCCAGGGTGAAGATAAATCTGTTCGAGGGAACGAATGGCACTTTGTGACGAAAGCTCTAAGAGAAGCTAATGAGATTCGAAATCACATCCGGAATAAATATACCAAAGAAAGGAATGGCCACAACGAGAAAGCTTTAAAAACGGATAAATCTATGGATGACATTTTTGCGTCAAGTCAAGCGGGAATATTATACAAATGTTGGTGTTAAACGTCTTAACAACAGTCGAAAGTTCTGAAAAAGAGGGAAGCCTCTATTTTCTGACGAAAGCAAGTCCTCTACAATTGTATTACTATGTTCGAAAACCCCGGGATAATTTTCGAAGAAAAAGCTATTGAATAAGGGAAAACTGCTGAGGATCCGAGACCAATTTTGGGGACTTTGTTTTGACAGAAAGTCAAATCAAAATTGAGGGTCATTTTTGAAAATGTCAGGAACAATTCTACAGCTTTTTTACATCGATGGCTGCGGCTCAAAAAAGGCAACCTTTCACGTCAAAAAGCTTTAGCACTTGCGAAACGAAGAAAAAAGGTAATGCTGACACATGCATCCTCGGCGAAGAAGCCTTGTAACAAAGGAAAGAGCTGTTTGATACTTGAAGCTTGGGAGAGACTGAAACTGTAAGTGTATGAGTGTGAAGGTAAGCAAAAAAATTGTTTCGAAGACACCATCAGCAGAATTGAAAAAGACAGACTTTCTTCAGATAACAAAGAGATTTATCAAAGATGATTAATGCCAAGCTCGAAACAGCAGATTTTGTAAGATATTTTATCCAGATTTTATATATTCGATCTCTATTCTGAGGCTTCTTACTATGAGGAGTTTCAGACGGAAAGCTTTAATATGCCTAAAAATGTGTGCCTTTTAGAGGAAATTATCAAATTTTGTGCCAATAAAAATTGTTCAGCGAAAATCATGAGCTGTCATATCCTTTGTATATATTAATGTACCACTTAGTTCAGTAAACAAAATCATACATATTTTTAAAATTACTGGTAGAGGAGAGCCAGGCCCTCATTCAAAACTCCGCTATTCCACTTGAAAAAGAAGAGGATACGGCCTATCACTTACGTTTTTACAACAAGAGTATGGAACACCGCAAGCTTCCGCTCCGGGGGAGGAACAATTGAAGTAAATATTGCTTTCCCAGTCATCATAGGTATCTATGCCGCAACATTTCACCTAAAAATAAAAGAAAGCGTAAGGTTTAGCCTTAATTACTGCTATCTTCCCCACCTAAAGGTTACTCAATTGGACAAACAAGTTGGTTAATTGATAAACAGAAGGTAAAAGATGCAGAAAATTTAGTTACAAAACGAGGGTGATGGTCTAAACAGTACAGTTAAAGAGATAACTAGCAAGGCTCATTCAGTGAGGCTTTGGGGGATTGCCCGGTGCAATCAAAAGTCCTGATTTATGTACGAAGTGTTGTCCTTCATCAGTTCAAATTAACAAATTTATTCAGACAAAAGATAATATTCATCTAAAAGTGTGGGTGTGGTCTGTTTTTAACCTTACAGATTCTACTTTAAGGGATCCTTGGTGATAATTGAACAGCATCTTTAAAAAAGTATTCGTGTAAAATGTTAATTTAACGACTTTCGATAAATTGGGTAATCTTACATTTTCCTGGAAGTAATCAATGATGCTTTGAAGATCAATGTCGTCTCGGTAATTTGGAATTGTTTTTTTCAATGCATCCTTGACAACACCCTTTGCCTGAAACGTATCAATAAAACTTGAAACAAAGATGATATCACAATCAATATCAAAATGATAAAATTGAGACATTTTTTTACTTTTGATTTGATTCTGAGAATGTCTCCATAAAAGGTCAATCCATAATACGATTATAGACACCTAGAACAAAGCTCTGCGAGTCTTTAGTTGATAAAGCAGAGAAAGCGAAACTATTCGAGAACGCCTATCGACTTGCAGTGCATAAAACTGTTGTCTTATGGTACTGTATTTACTCTAACATTCCCGCTTCGGGATTAGCGTTTCGACCTAACAAAACAAGGCGGGATTATTCGAGAGGCGGGTATATTGGAGCGGCGGGATTATTTTTTCAATGCCTTGAAGTCTAGTTTGAGGATACAAAAAAGTCTCTTGAACATGATTGTGACAAATCAGAGAAAAAATATGCAATTTCAACATATATGGGGGCTTAAATTAAATGGGGGATGGGATATTTATTTTCACAGACAAGACAGAGCATATATTATGCTTTATAGACAGCAGTACGAAGTCAAAGAATCAAATGTCTTTTTATGCTGCGATACTTGGATGTTTGATAAACTTGCAAAATAAGACAGCTCTCTGCCCTCTCCCGTCTATGACATTATCATGTGATTTAACCCATTCACTCCAAGCATAAGTTTCAATCCTTGATTTTCAACCCACACAAAGTGTGTAAAGAATAGCAAATGCCAATTAAAGGTTTTAATCCCGCATGCGGAATTATTGGGGAGGCGGGATTATTCTTACAATCTATGAAATACAAGCGGGATTACTCGAGAGGCGGGAATAAAAGAGAAGCGGGAATATTAGAGTAAATACGGTATGCCCTTTTCGCTTTTGAAAGCACAGAATGAGAAAAAAGAAAATTGAATTTCGGACAAACTCATTCACTTCATCTACTGGCCAATAGACAAAGAGGCCAGCAATTGGATCAAATAAAAGGAAATGAACAAAAGGAAACTTGGCAAAATGAAGAAGACGTGACTTAAAAAAAAGATGAAGCAAACCTCCAGGCTGTGTTCAAAATAATGAGCAAAATTTAATAAAATTAAATAATGACATTTGAAAGAAACATAAATTCGATGTTTCGAGCACAACTTTTCATCAGGTCATTATGTTCACACTATTACGTCACTCCATGCACATTGATGAAAACGTTGTCCATTGAAACATATCACTTTTCAAATCATAGAAACGGTGAGTGCTTGCACTACATCGTATTCTCTCCGTACCCGTCCATGAAAATGTTGTCTATTCAAACTTATCAATTTTGAAATGATTATATATTGATATATGATTAACACGGTAAGTGCTCGCACTGTTCTAACATAAACGCTGTTGGTAGCCTAACTTTTAAACCAAAACTTTCACCAGATTGGCAACAAACTGGACAAAATGAAAAGAAATGAAAAAAACTTTTGTACAACCGACCTTCCACTTTAAATTCTACATTTTGGGATGACTGGAACCTGGCATGCCAGAAATCAATTAATTCCCTGCTGCTATTAGTATTGGCCAATTCACCTAGTCTATTTCTGGCGTTGAATACACACGAACAGTATCCAAATGCAATTGTGGCCATTTGTGTTCCCCAAAGCGCTGGCCTAACGCTCTCAACAGTTTTAGTGGGCAACGCCAAACATTGCTGGGCTTTGTTCCAGGTGATCCGGTTCCAATATTTCACTGACAATTGGCACTTGACCATGAGCAAATACATTTGAAAAAAAACTTCTTTTTTCAAACAAATGAATGAATTATCTTCAGGTTACTCCTTTGCTTTACTCTTTAGACAAAGGTTTCTTTGAATTGCCTGACTTCAGAATAAATCGTTTTGATTCTGTGACCTAGCCTTTAAGTTTTCTTTTACTGTACCAATGCCCTGTTTCCTTTCGCATTCGACAGATTCATAAACTTGTGATAGTGTGAAGTCAACGAAGTGTCCAGAGGGACCGAAAACCCTCCCTATTCCCTACTCCAGGCTGCAAGTCGCTTTCTACAACTATCTTTGCCCAGCGCAGCTACATTGATTGTGTGCAAAAACACTGTTAGTATGCATGCTTGCAATGAAATTTGCTTAGAGGCTCTTGCGCTACCGGCACGTTTTGCGACTATGATTAAAAGAACCGGCCTAATATCGTTCAGCATGAAAATACAAAACACAGTCAATTTGTCAAGACAACTACTGCTAAACATGGCGGTTGCACATGAGCATTTAACAACTTTGAAAAAAATCCAGTGGCTGAACAAGGCGGCCAAACGGTCATATCATTTACTGAGCGTGAATGTTGAATAATGTTCAGTGAAATGTTGAGAGTGCTTGGCCAGAACTTAAATTTTTCACAAAGCAGAAGCAATGCAAGAACAGGTTTTACTCAATTTTCGTAATAAAATAGAACTAAGGTAGCAATGAAATGAAAGCAATAAGCTTCAGCTCAGAAAATATCTTAGAAAATAGCACTATCCAGGGACTGTTGTTATATTTTCGAATACTGTAGGTAATCATAAAGCTAACATAAACTGAATTATGAAGGTTTCATGACAGTGCAATGTGCATTTTTGTATCCTTTGCATGTTTGTCATATTGCAAATGCAAAAGGTCAATCAATACAAAGAAAATATCACAGATAATAAAGAAAAAGCTTAAAGTCATTTTGTTTTTCCATTCCTGTATGCTTCCTGGCACATACACAGCTGTGAAATGAGACTAATCAAAATCATTGTTTCTTAGTATAAATTTTAAACAAAATATCTGTACTGATATGTTTTTATAAATGAAAGTAATTCAGAAATTAGTGGTTTACAGTAAAAAGTAATATATTATTTGTCAACCAACCTTGTCCTTTGCAAAATAAAGTCCAAGTGCCCCACCAAGTTCAAGCAGCATCAGTAGATAGATTATGTATTCAAACTGAAAAGAACAAAGACATCAAAACACTAATGATACATATGAATACAATGTATACTCAAACATAATCAAATAAAACATGTCTATCAAGATATAAATAAATTATAATTTGGATTCTGTTTAGAGCCTGGCACTAAAAGATTAGAAACAGGATATGACATTTCTGAAGTACAAATAAGATCATTTCAACATATGGAGCCAGGCAGGACAGATATGTTACTATTTGAGCCTTATTCCAGAAAAATCCTTTAAATTTGTATTACCTTAAAACTTGGAAGTTGTTTCTGTGAATCTTAAAAGCTGACTAAATATTGTAATTTCAAAAGTGAGAGTAGCACAATTTAATTTGGTGTATTGACAATAGATTTAAACAAGTCTAATTTGCAAAATTTCAAATATGCATTGAAGAAGCAAACAGTAAGGTAGCCTTTAACCAAAAATAGATGTTGTGCCAGGCAGACTCAATGCCATTCCCCAGTAACAAGTGTGCAAAAATGTTTTTCACTCATTTTTGAAACTAAATTTTTACCAAAAGCATGGCCATACATAGCAAAGGTTGAGTTAGATTAAAGCAGGGAGGCAAAAACATTTAGATAACAACAGAAAATGATTCAATTAGGTAGCAGACCTGTCTGCTAAAAATGAAATAATGCCTTCATGAGAGTATGAGATAACTTGAAGGTTTCTACAGGAAACAGTTAAGACTCAGTGTTTTCTCAAAGTCTGCTTTAAAAATGCTGCATGATATAAGATGAAGAATTCACATGACATTATTTCAGTCATTACAGATGATATGACATTGTAGCTTCCGTTTAGGTTAGGAACCAATGTAACAAAATTGTATTAAGAGGCATAATTTTCTCATCTTTGCGATGTCTTCAAATTTTATCACATCAAATGCCTTAGAGAAATTTGTGAGAAGAAACAAATACATCACAGGAAAAAATTGATGAAAATAAAATACTGTATACATCTCATTACTATGTATATAATTTTGATATCATCACTCTGAGTTTAAGTTACATTAAGGGTATAAATGGTTGTCTAGCTCTTCACCTACCAGATGGACAAATAACATTATCAATGGCAAAATGATTTAACAAAATGGGCCTTACAAGTTTATCAACCTCCAATAAAACCTTTGAATCTTTAAGAAATTCAGGTTTATTTGGTGACTTCTAGCAAAATAACAAAGTGCTAAACAATGCCTAGAAACATTCTTAGTTTGCTTGAATGAATCATTACACTTCATGTGGCAATATAACTTGTACCATTATGTAAAATATAACCTTACAGCTAATATTTAGTCAAAAAACTGATTCAGGAATACAAGAATACTCAGGCATGGAGAAGCAAACTGAAATAAGCAAATAGTTATATATTCATTTTCTAGCCCCAATTTACCAAATATGTATACAAAAGGTCTTTCTGTGTCAAATTTATTCATCACTTCAATGAGCTAAATTATGAAAAAGTCAGAAACTAGCAATATTGGAACCTTAAATTATTTAGCTGCATGATGCTGATAGCATTGAAAAGCATACTTACAGTTTTCAGCATGCAGATGTTTTCCCTTAAGGCTCCAATACACCCCAAGAATGCAATGATAAAGATGGCAGCTCCAATGATTATGAAATAAATAGATGGATCAAAGTACCATGGGACAGTGCTCTTGAAAACTGACCCAAGCTCTTTCAAGGACTTAACATATATGCCAACAGCAAGTAGTGCTAGACCAATCAGCTGCAATGAAAATTTGACCAATTTTCAATCTGTGGTCTTGACTGTTAAATTTCTTCAGTGTCCACTTTTAAAACTATTTCTTTTAGACTAAATAATTCAGGAACACTAGCCTTTCAGTTCATTGGCCTGTATAAACATGGTTGCTGTAGCATACCAGCAATAATGCATACCATACAAGTTAGAAAAAAAGTATTTGATATAAGGCGTTTTAAAAACTGAAATGGAAAGTCTATATAAATTACCATTTTACCTTACCCTAACCCAAATATACCATTTTTACTAATCATAAAATCATCTGATTCTTATTCATTAATTCTTCTAATTTCCTAATGTAAATGGCTGTGAAAAAAGCAAACATTTAGTAAACTAAAGCTTTTCATCTGACACTCTTCAGAGTTGAAAATGTCAGAACATAGATAAAAAATTCTACGCTAGGAAATATATATGCCCAGTTGTCGATCAAAATAGGCCAATCAGAAACACGAGCACATGACTGTTGAGGTTGACCAATCAGTGCTGCTTGCCTATTGAGAATGCTACCAATGGAGTCCTAAGGTGAAAATGAACTCATTTTGTCTACACAGTAGCAGGTTTTCGTGCTTATGTGATAGATTCCAAAACTGCTAAATGGAACGACGATCGCGCCTTACCAATAATCCGAAACATGTCGTCATTATAGTTTTTTGCACAATCTTGGTTTTTCAGTAAATGCTGCCCGATAGCAGAATTGCAGGTTTTGGCTTTGCATGACCAAGGTGGCTGTTCTCTTTGGGGGCGAGTTTTGCTTCTAATACTAGGTGCAACATGTTGTATTATTCTATCCTCCAATCTTTGGGTAGTGCGTCCCATGTAGCCAGAGTAACACTGGCACGTAAATTCAAAATTTCCTAATGCTTGCAACTCAACAAGAAGTAATTAAGCTTTCTTCTTGATGGTTTAAATAAATCTTTATATAAATGATGGTTTATGATGATATATGGTTAGATCTTAATTTGGTGATTTTCATGAACTCTGTCTGTGTGAAAATCTACCAGGGATGAGGTCACTCAACAGACCCATGACAGCTCTCAGTCAATAGAGTAGTTTGTCAGTATTATCAGTATTATTGTCAGCATAAATCATTTAAACCATGAAAACAATTAACCTTACAAGTAGTGGGTTCTACAAAATGAAAAATTCCAATAAACAGTTTAAAGCCAATGCTTGCTTTGGGGACAGTTAATCTGGTAGGACAAATATCAATCTTAAAGTGGCAATCAATTAGTTAATTTGTGATGAGTCCACATGTTAAATGTCATGAGTCTGATATAGTCATTTGCAAAGTCATGTTACAACATGTTTAAATACATAGACATTGAATTTGCATGTTGATTAATCGGAATTTTAAAATATCCTTTTCAAAAAACTCATGAAATTGCCTTGAATGAAAAAAAGATATTTGCAGCAACTGTATTAACTTATTCATATTTGAACAGTGTTTTGGCGGTACATAACTTGAAAATGGCTTTGAAAAAAGCACATATTTTATAACATATTGGCTAAAAGCTTTTTCGTCTGACATTCCCCAGAGCATAAAACGTTAGAATAAGGGTCCGAGGGAACACGATGAAAAATATACCCAGCTGTGGATCGAAATAGGCCAATCAGAATTATTCATATCTTTTTCACCAAAATAGAATTACCAGTATAGGCCTAATGCGTATGAACGTATTAGGGATGACGTCCAATTTGTCAACGGAATAAAGAAGATGAAAATGATAAGCTATTGATAAATACGAGTAATATTTCGCCTTTTCACTCATAATAAAATGATATAACTCGTGGGTGTAATACATACCCAAAAGAGGATGTTCAGAAAAAACAAAGTGTACTTTGAACAAGTACTGACTGCTGAAGAATCTTGACCGGCCATTCCGAGCCTAGCTTACGTTCCCAGGATCCAAATAACTTCGAAGAGACTGTTGAAACACGTTATTCGAAGTTATATTGAAACAAATCTGCAATTTTGTATTTCATATATCTACTGAAAAAGCGTACTGCAATTTTTGCAGTTTCTTCTTGGCACAAAGTTGTCAGGTTTCTTTCCTGTTACGTTTAATGCAGCGTATTAGCCACCTTGTAGCAATGCGGAGGAGTGACTGCCTAGCAACTAAACCACAATTATCCTTCACTCTCAACAACAGTTACACACCCGTTAAAACATTAGGCAGGGACGTAGCAGCTACGGGAGCAGGAGGTTGCAGCTCAACATAATTTGTAGAGCAAAATAAATATTTTCAAAACCTACCTTGTATTTTGAGATATTATTTGATAAAATAGTAATGTCATAATGTTTGCAAGACGGCAAAGATGGAAATTGTTTGGTCATACATTACGACCTGATGAACGAGTACCAGGTTAGCAAGCGATGAATTTTTACAGTGAACCCTGGAAAGCAAAAGGTTTCAGAGGTCATCTACGTAAAACATTTGCAACAACGTTGAATAAAGATATCTTCGAAGCTGCCAAGAAATATCCAAATATACAAATGAAGCAATTGAAATCCCCCAAGCAAAAATACGAAACTGTAAAGATGACACTCCGAATTTCGTCTACTTGAAATCGATCCATCAAAAAATAAAAAAGTATCCTTATGTTCTATTTTATTGAAGCATAGGGACACTTTGCTAAAAGAGTTATGACGTAGCATTTGATTGGTTTACACACTAGCACCTCACTGAACTCATGTCTTCTATCAGAACGATAAACACAAAGGCGATGCCAAATTGCTAGCTTAAATAATAAAATTGTTAAACTTATCGAATACAGATTTCATTTAGGCATTTACATAACATTTAGCAAGTGATGTTTTAGATTCTTTTTGAATAAAAACCTTGAGGTAGAGTCGCGAATGTCAGCTGATAGGTTGTTCCAGAGTTTCGCTCCCATTTATCGAATGGACTTTAAGCCAAAATGAAGCGTATTTTTTTATCTAGATAGATATCTCCTCGGAAAGGCTGCCTTGTTTCATAGTGATGGACTGAAATATTTAGTGGAAAAAATTGTTAAAGCAACTCGGTGTTAGTTTGTTTCTTGATTCAAAAACAAATATTAATAACTGGAGTTTAAATATGTCATGAAGTCTGGGTAGCTTCAGATTTCTAAAGATCAGTGTTGAATGGGAAAAGACCTTTCATGTGAAATTTCTCTAAAAGCTCTTTTTTGCAGTTTGAAAATAGGGTCAACGTATGTGGCAAATGTTTGACCCCAAACAATGATACCGTACTGGAGAAATGACATAAATAGAGAATTATAGATGCATATTAAAGAATCAATTGGTAGATAATGTCTGATTTTGAAAAAAACTTTGCATGTTCTTGCCAGTTTTTTGGAGAGTTCATTTAGATGAACTTTCCAACAAAGATGTTCATCCAGAAGAAATCCCAAAAATGTTACATGATTTACCCTGGTGCTATGTTGTTCACCAATTTTAATTAAGATGTCGGATGGAAAAGTTTTGCTGGAAGAGTGAAAAATTATGTAATTAGTTTTACTTATATTCAATGAAAGTCTATTAGCATCAAACCATTTTTGCACATTTCTAAATTCTGTATTTACGTTTCTAACAAGATCATATACTGACTTGGATTCGTAATAAATGTTTGTATCGTCGGCAAAAAGGAAAAAAATCAGTTTTTTTGAGACATTTGGTACCATCTCTTCTGATACCATAATGCCCAAGTTTGGTAATCAAAATATCGTGGTTAACAGTATCAAAGGCTTTTTGAAGGTCGATGAATATTCCACATCCATACTTCCTATTGTCAAGAGTATTTCTTATTGCTTTAGTCATACTAATCAAAGCATGGTCAATCGAATGATTTTCTTGAAACCCAAATTGTTAAGGGTAGATTACTTTGTTAAGGGTAATAAACGAATAGAGTCGTCTGTACATTAATTTTTCACATAGTTTGCTGAAGACTGGCAACAGCGATATAGGCCTATAGTTTGACTTAGTTTTGGTGTCCTTCTTTTTAAAACAGGAATTACTTTGGCTACTTTTAATTTATTTGGAAAAATTCCTTTAAAGAGCGACCGATTGATGAGTGTAGCTAAGGAATTCGAAATATAGGGTCCTAGAGTTTTCAAAAAATTTATTGGAATACTGCGTGGCCCAAAAGACTTTGATGAGTCAAATTGAGAAATTTCATTCTCGACTTGAAGATTGAATTTAAGTTTTTATTATCAAGATAATCAATAGGTGACTCAGATCTTTTGGCAAGGATTTGGTACTATTGTCAGCAACATTGACAAAGTACTCGTTAAAGACATTAGAAATTTTAGTTGTGTCGGTATCCTTGATTTTGCCAATACTTGCAGGGACAGAGCCTTTGCTAGAAATAATTGATTTAATGCCTACCCACAGTTTTTTCATATTTTGGCAATTTGTAGAGAAATAGTCATGAAAATAGTTTAGCTTGCTTTTCTTTATCTCATTTGTTACCCGATTTCTGAATTTTCTGTAGAGTTGAAGATTGCTAACCGATCTATTTCTTTTCATTTTTTAAACATGTGATCACGAGTTCGCATCATCTTTTGTATTCTGCTGTTGATCCAAGGTTTTGCTTTTATTTTTGATTCTTTTTTGTGCACTTTATAACTGGTACATGTTTTTCAACAAGCACACCAAATTCAAATTCATCACAGTTTACGCTGAGGTTATCGCATAATTTAGAGTTCAAAGACTTCTTGACATAAAGTCGTGCACCTCCATTTTGGCTTGACGATTTAGTGTCGTAATGATTATATCCTTCGATGCTGACATTTGTTAAGATTTCATTCTAACTTTGATTCCATGTCTCAGAAACTCCTATGATATCAAAATTAATTTTGGCCTGAGCACATAGGTTAATAAGTTCATCATGGTGTAAACAAAGACTTCTTATATTTTTATGAAGAATGGAAAGATCGCGAGAATCGCATCTGAGGGAATTTAGTTCGGATACAGTAAAATAGCGTGAATCAATAGTTTGAGGCAGTTGCTCATCAATGTCATAGTCACTCAAGTATGGTACTCTAGTTAAATTCGAAGAATACTGAAAATTTGGCAGTCCGGCGATTTATGAGGGCTAATGGTTCTCTACCTCAAGCATATAGTATGTAAAATTAAAAAGTAATTAAACGAGAAAAGGTGATCACTAAGGTGGGAGTGAAGCACAATGTCCGGCCAGGTCATCAATTATTGATGCCATGGTTACCATGTAAACCATGCTACCTGTATCATGGCTGGGTCGTTGCCGGGTTAAGCGGCTCCCCCATCAGCTTGGCTGATGAGGAGGGATTCCAGGATACCCAGCAGCAATAAAAACAAGAGCTGTAAAAAGTCATTTAAACTAATCCAGGGGTGAAGGTAACACTGAAAAATTATCAATCTAAAAAGATACATCCAACCAAGGAAAAGTCTTCAGTGGTAGAGAATGCGGAAGATCTCTTACAGGACAACGACTTCAAATGCAAAATCAAAGAAATAATGGGCACCAAAAAGAAATCTAAAGGCAATGAATGCATTAAAAATAAAGAGGGAAATATCCTATTCAACGAAAGCGATATCAAAAAAAGATGGCAGGAATATGAATCTGAATTATTTGACGATAACAGAGATGATACCTATGATACTATAACAAACGGAGAAGAAGCTGACATGTTAGAGTCAGAAATAACAAAAGCTTTACAATGCATGAAAACAAGCAAATCCCCTGGTGTGGATGAAATCAACACAGAGATGCTCAAAGCCTTAGATGCCCAAGTATATATAGTTGGAACAATACCTGGAGACATGAATGACTTCATATTTCTAAGAATTCCAAAAAGTTAAAGACGCATGCAAAGAGTTTAGAACAATTAGATTTATGAGCCACATTCTGAAGCTTATACTATAGGAAGAAATAAACAACGAATAGAAAAGGAAATAAGCGATACGCAGAGCGGTTTTATAGAAGGAAAAGGAACTCGTGAAAGGAAATTCAATAGGAGAACTATATGTGAGAGATACCTGACAATGAACAAAAATGTATATGCATGCTTCATAGACTACCAGAAAGCATTCGACAGGGTAAACCACCAGATGATGATTGACAACCTCATAAAGATTGCAATACCAGGAAGGGATATCAAATTCATAAGAAATCTGTACTGGACGCAAAAAGCATTCATGAGACTAGAAAATGGACTGTCTGATGAAGTGATGGTATAACGAGGAGTAAGACAGGAATGTGTACTGTCCCCTGCTTTCTTCAACCTCTACACAGAGATTATATTCAGAGCTATAGATGATATGGATGCTGATGATACGGTTCTTATTGCTGAAACACCTGAGCAATTGCAAGAAATAGCAAATAAAGTTAACGAGGAAAAGGAAATGTATGGAATGAAGATAAATGCTGAAAAAACCAAAACTATGTTGGTATCTGAAGTAATGCCAAGCGCCAAATTTCATATTACTGTTGACAACGACATAATTAAACAAGTAGATTCATTTGTATATTTAGGAAAACTATTGATATAGGATGCTAGGTGCGATAAAGAATTCCTACGTCGTATTTCTATCGCCCGAGGAACATTTAATAAAATGAAGTCAACATTAACAAATAGCCACATCAATCTTGAGACGAGAAAGATAATTCTGAAATGCTATGTATGGAGTACCTTATTGTATGAAGTAGAGACATGGACTGTAACAACAACAACACTTGAGAAAATGCTGAAATTGTCATGGATGGAGAAAGTGAAAAATGAGGAAGTGCTTCAACGAATCAATGAAAAAGAAAGCTGATCAATATCTTGAAGGACAGGAAACTGAAATATTTGGGCATTTGATGCGGCTAAATAACATTTACAGAACACTGTGAGAAGGATATATAGATGGAAAGGGAGGCAGAGGTCGCCCAAGGATGAGTTGGTATGACATCATCAAGGAGTGGACTGGTATGCGGTATGAGAGGGCAACAAGAGCTGCAATGGACCGAGACAAATGGAGAGCTACTGTGTCATCCAACGTCGAAAGATTTGGATCATAAAGAAAAAGAAGAAATTGATATTTAATCCTAGCATTCAAGCCGAGCGGCGCTAGTCATTAAATTGAATCTTGGCGTTTTAACAGAAAAGGGCGTGCTGTTGACAGTAGATATGTTACTGCATCAGTTTGTCAGTTGTAATCGAAATGTCTCGAGGCATCTTAAATCGTGATTTAAATTCATCTTAAAGGGTCTCTTGAGAAGCATTTTTCAGTTACTGCACGGGCATCAATGTTTTGGTTAACATTAATCTATCCATACTCCAATTGATAGTGTTATATCTTTTTGGTGTTTGATACGGTTTTCAATACATAATCGTGCATACAACGCAACATTGCATTGAGACACCTTTGCTGGTGAGTGAAAGGACACCCAGTTGTAAAAGAGCATACTGATCATAAGCTCCGAAGTCCTCTACCTGATGTGGACTCAAATCTCATAACACACGGAGAGATTGATGGAGTCAAAAAATTATTGCCCTCTGTGGAAATTTTCTACAGGTGGCCAGAAAATTCTTATCTTAACTGCGCATTTGCCAATTTTAAAAATTTAGCTTTCTACACGACGCTATTTAAACGCTTCAAACATACTTCTCCGCAGATCCCACAGAAGAGACCTTTTATCTCTACCAACTTTTGGTCTACCAACACATTGCAGATTGTTCACAGTTTTCACGAATAAACTCTTTGCACACAGCAAAAGCTAGATTCTTTACAGAAGCATATAGCTGCTGCCATTTTTCCATAAATTTTTCTGTTGTTATTAAGAAAAACAATATTTTTACTGTGTGAATAAAGTAAAGGTCGAGCGGTCTGCTCGACCGACTCCAAAGAGTTCTTGTGGCGAAAAATCGATGAAAATGTAGCAAATAGGAAACAACGCAAATCGATGAGAATGAACAACAATAAATACACGTAAATTATTTAAGGCTAATATTTCGCCCCAGCATACGGGGCTAAGGGCCTGTTTGCACGGGATCGACGCATCCGATCCCATTTGGATTTGCTATCCGTACCTGTTCGGGGTCGCTTATGAAGATGGTCCAGTTTGGATCCGATCCCAAAAAGGTCTTGTGTAAACGGCTGAAATCCTATCCAAACAGGTACGGATAAAAATAAGGCATAAAATTTCCAAAGTATCTCACTTTGTTGGTTATTTATTGCTTCGAAACTTTCGACTTAAAAATTATTTTCTACCTACTAAGGTTAAATGATTTTTTGTTTATTGGAATGAGCACACAAATCTACGCATCTTGGTTCCATAAGGATCCGATCTCGTGTAGACACCCCCTTAAAAATGAGTTCGGATCCAAATCGATAATATGATAATATGTTCATACTAAACTACCCACAACAATAGACCCATATGGAACAACACCTTCCAACCACCCAAAATGCTGTTCCTGCACCAGTATCAACTCTTGGACCACAATCCTCAACAACCACAACTTCTTCAATACAAAAAACCAATTTATATATTCGTCTTTCTGCCGGGATTAGTGCATCTGCAACTCCAAATACGGCTTTGGGTAACCGGGGAGACGTCCTGTAGGTTGAATGCCAGTTTTCGTTAACATCATATACGCAATTTAGAGAAGAAAACACACCTTTGAGCCTATGTTCACGTTGCTCCGTGTTCGTTTTTATCCGTTTTCATATCGATCCGTTTTCCTGTTCACACTGCTCCGGATACATTTGATAACGGTGTGAAAACGATGAAGCGTTCACATTGCTCCGCTCTGGATAATAAGGAAAACGCCACCAACTGGTTTACAGACCTTGCGACTGCTAATAAACTTTTCAAACAACTCACCGCCACTAACATTCTTCCAAGTAGTGAACTAACTTCGAGCGAATCAGCCATGTTAAGAGAAGTTGTTCAAATTGGGATGTTCTAAGCATCTTGCTGTGCTGTTGCTGTCGTTGTCAAAAGTATCCGTTTTCGGTGTTCACACTGCGTTTCGGTGAAAACATTCAATTGCATCCTTTCTCTTTACAAAGTGCTACTGAATCTTATGAAAGACCTACGTTGCCGAAAATGCTTTGGAAAGAAAGAGACAGAAATTCACTTTATTTCGATGTTAGCATTATAATTTGATGCCGAATCAGCCGATGTCGAGCAACCTTGCGATGAGATAGAGTTTTTAAATTTTTATATCTAAACGTGTTACAATTGGTCTATTTGCAGAAGCCTTTTTAAGGCTATTTTTCGCACTTTCAAAATTATCACAAGACGTGATAATTGTCTGTGTCAAAAAAACTCATAGTCAACGTTTGCACAGAAAAATGAGAAGAATTTAAAAACAGGATAAGCCTTGGACTAAGCGTATTGCCTAGAGAAATGATCAAATAAATTCAAAGTGCTTCGTTTGCTTTTTTTAAACAAAGAAATCATTATTTAGCCAATTTTCTAACTTTCAGTTCATTGTGTCCTTTAATAATTTTTTAAACATTCTGATTGTTAACTCGAATTTCGCATGAAATCTTAAATTTTCAACTATTGAAACTTGCTTATCAATATTATTGAGAAGAGGCACTTAGTGAAATTTAATAAAAATTGAGCATTTTAAATGACCATCTCTTAATTCAACTCCTGTGAAATGAACAACTTGCAGTGAAAATGTTAAGAAACATTTTGGCATCTTATATGCTAATCGACTTAACTTTAGTACTGCGCAACATGTATCATAATAAAAAGCTTAAGGGCACGCATAAAGATTTAAATTAGTTTACTGAAATATCTAGATGCCTCTCAATATCGAAGCATGACTACAAGCCAATACAAATAGGCTCCTTGCTTGTGCTTGAAAACTACGAAACTGGAGCTGTACAACTGTCATAGCTTTTTAATCTAGCATTTTATGTAGCTTTACCGCCGTAAAAGCAAGTCATTTTTACAGCTTCTCTGATTAGCATTTTTATGGTCAAAGAGTCAACTTCAAGCTTCTCTCAAATGCAAAAAAATCCTAAATAATTTTTTTACATCAAAGTAGCTCAATCATACGTCTTCTGTGGTATCGATTGATCTCTTAGCTTTATCAACTCGTTAACCTGGGTCGATATCAGCTGAGAGCAATTTAACAAGCATGAACAAAATCTATTTACAATTACAATCTTATGGCAAAAAGAATAATCTATATTACACAAAGATAGTTGGGCGACATCAAGCCATTGTCGTCTGTTCTAATGTCTAGCTGAATTTCTTGAAGCCGGACATGATATAGCCTCTATTATGCATTTCGTCAATGTTGATGGAATGATCATTTGGGCACTAAAAAAAGAACACGAAGCAAAATTCATTTTAGCTCTTTCAAATTTTATACCCATTACAAAAATGGCAAAGTAGCAATTAAATAGTTTCTGTATTTGTTTAACATGAAATACTACCTGCTATGGTCTAGAAGGTAAACGGGAATCAGAAATAGATTATGTCAATGTTTTACCACCAAATTAACTTCAGGATATGCGAAGAAGTTAAAAATGATTCACAAAAGGGTAGAAACTCTTACCTCGGCAAGGACGTAACTGGCACCTTTTTCTTCTGAAAAGTTTGGGACAAGCTTTTCCTCCTCGGCCTGGCATCTGAATGACGTTTCTTGTTTTTACTTTGATTCCTTTCCCACAAGTAGCGCTGCATTTTGTCCAGGTTCCCCATTTTGAGACTTGGCAGTCATTGCCACTTCTCCGCTGACCAACTAGGAAAATATAGTGACGAAAGACTTTATTATATACGCAATTAACTTTACGTTTAATTGAACCTTGCTTACCTAGAACCTAAGAGCTATCTAAATATATTATTAGAAAGGTTCTTGTGAGGTTACTGCCATGATTATATTTATAATTAATTAAACTTGGAAAGATACAATTGAAGTTATTGACGTTTCAAAGTTTTGAAAATAGCATTCTTCATCGCTGCACAGCTTTTGAAGAGTTGCATTAAGACTGTCTTTAACTTGTCAGATTGGTCATACTTTCTCTGAATCTTCATATTCTGTTTTTGATAACTTTTTCTGGCTTTTGTTAATCAACATAAACAGGTACCTTTCTTACAGTTTCCCATATTGCAAGCTATTGTTTCCTTTAAAGGGGGGCATAGTTGAGGCGATCCGCTGTTCAGTATTACTCTACCACGGACACGAGTACCAAATCCACAACTGACACTGCATCTTGTCCATGACGTCCATATTGAAACGTGACATGTACCAGGAGCTCTCCCAACTGCAAAAGGTTTCAAAAAATATATGTACTTTTAAAACAGGAGTAAACTTACATGCAGAACTCCTAAAATTATAATTAAATCGTGAAACTTCGTAGTAGACAAGTCCTTTGAGCGACACAGTCACACTTTATTATAAATGGCAGCTTCTACATTTTGACGATCATAAAAACCTGCTTTTTAAAGTTTATTTCGTTCCATCACAAGATCTCCTGAGCTTTTAGAAAAAGTTTGAATGCTTGAATTTTTTTGACTGGAAGCAATTTCCTGCTGAAACAAGAAGATGAACAAACTGAAAAACAAAAACGTAAATGAATGGCAAATAGACAGTGGGTTGCCTTCAAAATGATACGTCCTTAAGTGGTTACTGCCAATCAAAAATGAATAGATTGTCATCTGTGGTTTTCCTTGTAAGAATATATTGCGTTTTGCAGCCTATTTCTTAACCATTTTTGTTTAACTTCTGTACTACTCTAAGCCTCTTTCTGTACAACTATAGCTGTAATAATACCTTATTTTCTCATCTCGAGTAGCGGCCCAAAGAAGGCGTCTAGTAACGGGCAATCAATTTTTCAAAATACTGTGGTTGAAAGAAGTACCTTTTGGAATATTGACCTCATTAAGATGTCCAGAGCATTTGCCATCTATTTTTACAAGGTGCAAAATGATTTTTGCAAGCGAAGGAGCTTTGTTGCCGCCAAGATTAAGTGAACTCTCAGAGTGCAGGTCTTTTCTCTTTCCAATGTAATGAATTTGTTCAGATGGGCGTGACTCGTGATTGGGGGAAGTAAAAGTTATGCCACTGTCTGTCCCTAAAGAAAACAACTTGGTTAAAGCTGTGATAATGAATCATTAACGAATAAAATCTGGTTTATAAAATATATTTTGAGCAATGAAAAGCTTCACCGTGGGGGTGGGGGTGGCTCTTTCACAAAATAATAAAAGTATTCATGCTAGATTCTCTATCGACCTACATCATTTCCATGAGCTGCCAAATATTTTAGTTTCAGAGTTTCAGTGAATCATTATCAATAGCTCTTTGCAATTATCAATATTAAATAATCTATGATATTCTTTAATCTGTAGGTAATGTCACTTGAAAAATCTAGAGACTGCAAAGTTGTTGGGCTACGTAATTACGCTGAGCGTTCAGTTACTGCACGGCCAAATGGTCTATCTGGTTCTTTAAAGTATGAAAGTGATTATTAAATAAGCCTCTGGAATTGGTTGTGTTTCTGACGCTCTCTGTCAAAGGCCAAATTGACTGAGTCTATTAAAATGGCAGCAGATGTGCAAACAGGAACAAGTATTATCAGAATCCTTCGGGAGAAAGTAAATGCATTAATTCTTTACAGTGGTATGTTGATCACAGCATTTCTTCTTGATGTCTTGCATCAGATCCTAGAAGTGTGTGACTGGTTCTCAAAATCCGAAGAAGTTCTTCTAGTCTTCAATTCTTACCATTTTCATAAAACGTGGCAAAGGGTATGATATTAAAGCGGGCAGAAGACCGAAACCAAACCGAAACTGCCCAACCGAGGCGCAGAGTGGTTTACATATTGGACAAGAGTAATTGAAATTTCAGAGAATGGAAACTGCAACATTGCACAGTTCAGAGCTACTGAAGTGCTGGACATCACATTATTTTACCATTGAGAGTAACAGAAATATTGAGTAGCAGTGAAACCTTGAAATACTCTTGAAACTAGAATTTTGGCCATTAAAGTTTTGACAGTACCGACATTTTGATTCTAAAGTGATATTCTAGAACAAATATAGTTAATGGCAATTGCAGAACATTTAGTCACTTCCGATCTGAAGAGCTTTAGAAAAGTTCCTTATAATTGTCAGTAGAAACGTGGTTAGACCATCTTATATTTATACAAATCTTTTTGATAAAGTACATGTTAACTTGACATGACGCAATTAACCTTTGAACATTTTACCTGCATCCCAAGGATCTAGGTCTAACTCAATCTTCTTTCTCCAACTGCATTTCTTGTGGTCACAAAGATCCAATGAGTCGACTCCTACATTCCAGTCAGGGCTTGGTGAAACTCTTGACATTGCCGAGAATAAAGGCTTGTACTTGTTTACTTTGAAAGTAGCTCTCGCACTTTCACAACAAGACGCAACTGGCTTTGTGACAACTTTGCTGCAAACAAACCAATGTCAATAGTTACTGGAAACGTGATCGGCAAAGCATATTTATGTGGGTTAATTTAACAAAAATTATTTTCCAAAAGGGGCAATATTGCAATGATTGCTCTTCTGCAGAACTTTGAATGTGAATAATGAAAAGCAGAAAATCAAAAGGTCAGTTTGGTTTGCAATGCTGCCTAAGGCAAGCTGCTCAAGAGGGGCTACCGAGCAAGTGGTGCCCAAAGAGTAGTGCCCAAACATGGCTGCCTAAGGAGCGCTGCTGAAGGAATGCTTCAAACAGTGTGCTTCTGAAGGAATGCTGCAAAAAGGGTTCTTCGCTTTTACTTTATTTGAAATTTATCCAAATAGGAAAAAAAGTAATTGCAGAAATTAGTTCACTTGAAATGATTTTGTCTACCTTATTAATTGAGCTTCCTTTAAAGCAATTTCTTGTTCAAGCTCTAGCTGGGAGCCATATTCACTCATTTTGCGAATCCCAGAGGAAGCGAGCTGACCTATACGCCACAAGACAAACTCATTTGAATGCGAGGCACCTATCAATGATGAAAAGTAGGCCAATCTGCCAGGAAAGTGCTTTGGATGACGAGTCCTTGTCCACTTGCCTGTCATTGAAAGACATCTTTTTAAGCTTTATTATCCCAAGCACTAAACAGTTAAAGTAGTATAACGCTTTTTTAAGGAAGATAACTTGTTTAATTGGAGACTTCTTTCTCATAATTCAGTAAAGGGGACTGATAAGAATATCTGTGATTATTTGTACTGCGATTCTAAATAAATGGCATCTACAATAAAGCGAAGCAAAGTATGTGTAATTAAAGTTACCCATAAATTTGAGTCTGTACGTGGCCATTCCACAAGCACAGCAGGTCACATTCTCTCCACTTCCTACAAAATATTTTTTGAAATTAGTCTTTGTTAAATGTCAATAAAGAACAAAGGTTTGCTGTTTCAAATGGTCAGCCAATCACTGTATCATGCTCTGTTCATTCCTTTTTTACGCATTAAATGAACTCTCCAATTAGTTTCTTTGATATTAAAATGTTATTGACCTCCAAATAAAGACAAATGAAGTAGAAAACGAGAAGAAGTAGAAAAATAAAGAAATTCGTAGAAGGATTTGACATATACTGTCATTATGCTACTATGTACTCTTGTCTTAGCTATCACAATTTGTCTCTTTCTTTTTCAATCAAAATCATCAGGGACTCTTAAGATGCCTAAATCTTGTTGATCAAGTTCATCTAGAGTTGAGAGCCAATTCATTCCAATTTGCTCGTGATAAAAGTCACATACAGTCATTTTGTGGTTTTGACAGGGGCGGATCTAGAAAAACATATGACTGAGCTGCGGGCAGTGGTTAGGCTTGGTCACAAGAATTTTCTTGTTCAATAAACTAAACCGTCATTTTGGTAGTCATGATTAAGGCTACAATAAAATCTATTCTCTCAAAAATTACTAGGTGCTACCCACCAACAATAGACTGAAATTAGGCTTTTAAATTTTTCTTTTATCTCTCTGACATTCGCCATTTACCTTCTCCTCTTCTCCTGTCCCGTCTTTCTCTATCTTTGGTGTAAGGTGAAGGTTTTACATTCCAAAATCAAAACAAAATCAGATTGCAAGTACATTTAACCAACTGTTTTGTTTCTGTTTTGCCACTGCTCAAACTAGTTTTGGGTAGCTTGAAGATAGCCCTTGCAGTTACATTTAACAATAAATAATCTTCTAGATAGCTGCAAGAAGGTGCAAAATGGTTCCGTGCAAGTTTTCAATCATAACTTAAAAGTTTCCAGCTAAACTAAAAAAAACCGAATCGTTGCCAAACCAACACGGAACCATTGAAAAACTATCGATCTATCACAGTTCTGTCCCCTAACGACTTCATTATGCTCAGATGGTCGGCTTTGCGGACATATTATTAGTTTCCTGCTCATGTGGTTTTCGGAAAGGTTTTTACACACATAGCATGGACTGTTGAGATTAATGGATTTTTGTAAGAACTCCATAGATAAAAAAGAGGTGGTTGGTGCCTTCCTAATGGGTCTCTCAAAAGCTTTTCATTGCATAGACCATGAGCTTTTAATTGCAAAATTAAATGTCTTTGGTTTTTGCAAAGATGCTCAACTGATGATTTATAATTTCTTGTCTGGTATAAAACAAAGAGTAAATTTGAATGCTTCATTCTGCACTTGGCGAAAAACTTTTGCAGTCCCACAAAGACCAGTCCTTGGACCTATTCTATTTTATTCATGCATTAATGTGATGGATACTGCAATGAGTAAGGTTTCATTCAAAACAAAACCTTTGATACATTGAATCATATATTTATTTTGTGATAATTCTTTATAAATAATTGGCCTTAGTAAGCTTGGCCTTAGAATAGCTTTTAGAGTTAGACCTAGTACGTCAATTATTCATTCTATAAATGTTATTGTAAGACACGCGTACAGTCGTTATCCAAGAGACCAAATCAAAATCTTCATGTTCTTTTCGCTACTTGACACTGAAATCCAAATTCAACTTTACCATACTACTCTCAGTATAGATTATTTTAATAGACATCTTGATAACAAGGTCAACCACATTCAGAAATTTACAAAACTAAATCGAATACTGCTGCAAGCGAAGAAAATCTTTTACAATTGACCATGACCAGGTCAGTTTAGTTTGGGACAGAAAGTATTCCTTTTTTAGAACGTTAAAATGTCGCATGAGCTCTCAAATGACATCAAAAAGCCCTTTAATATTACCATGTTTTAAAAAATGAACAAAAGAGATGGAGAGCGATGAAAGCAACTCCCTATAAGGTAGGACAGTTTCATTAAAAAACTTAGCAATGTCTATGAATATTTGTTCCAGGAAAACCATACAAGACATTAGCAATTAAGGGCACGATTTGACCATTTCAATCGGAGCTTTTATTATCTGACTGTTGGTTTGCTAATCGCAAGACGACCATAGATAAAACGTGTTAGAAGGATCAACCGCAGGGTAGGCTGTCCGTCGGATTATTTGAATCTTGCAATGAGTATAAATACGAAGATGAAATTCAGGAACAAAAGAAAACGGCGACGAAAATCCAATGTAATGAGAAAAATTTTCTAAAGAAATTAAATAAAACGAATGCTAACATTTCGCCCCGGCAAACAGGGCTTAATAGTCGTTGTTGTTGTTGTTGTAATCTTATTTTAAATCGAATACACCGTAAATGCTCGTATAAGCCTCCCTTCGAAAAAGCCCCCATCTAAAAAACATTTTTGCAAATAAGCCCCCCCCCCTCGAATAAGCCCCCATGGGCGTTTTGTCCTGGGACATTTGTCTCAGTGAGCCTTTTCGCTTTTCCGGGCAATGAAGGAAAACTTGGTACTTTTAACCCAATGATCTAAGTCAAACTGAAGTATTTTACTTTGCAAAAAAACCGATTTACGCTCAAATAAAATCTCGTTGGATCGCTCATCATAAATTTAAAAGATGACTGTTTAAAAGATGAATGACAGTGCTGAAAAATATTGTAAATTTGGTGATGAAGCAGGTAATGAAAGTAAAAAGTTTTTCCACGATACTACCACTACAGTATTTGAAACAGATAATCCCACTAACAAGTACCTCAGGCGCATTAGATCCAAATGACTCAAGGGGTACATCATGGCTTCATTCTTGGATCCATTATTAAAAACAAATTCTGGTCACATAAGTCTTTTTATAGGCAAATTATCTCTGCCAATTGTATTGAAGATCTTTGTAGGTTTGTTGAAATACTAATACAAACAAACGCATTGGTTTAAATAGTTCCAATAACGCGAGACGCAACCAATAACATGACACCAAATAAATCAAATTCATTGGCTACTAGAAAAAGGAATTTGTAAACAGAATAATTTCAGAATTAATTTCAGTAATGTAGTGTTGCTTCTTAGAGATCTAACTGATAATCGCTTAAAATTATGCTCACATATTGAGAAAATTTGCGAAAAGGCTGCTCTTCAACTCAGTTGTCTAAAAGATTAGCTCTGTTTATGGTTAGAAAAGAAAAACAGTCAACACATTTCCACTGTGTAATGTTAAGCACTACCCTATTTTGTGGCTATTTTGCAGCCTTCTTTATAGCCTTCGCATTTCACACCTCTACTTTTAATGACCTTTTTTACGTGGTGTAGATCTACTACAGTACATATCCTTTCAAACAATCCCTTGAGATGTTCAAAACTTTGCATAACTGGAGCAGCACATTCCATAACCTACGAATGGGCAGTAATCTTTACATTGCTAAGGCGGAAACTATCAAATACGGTACTAAGTCGCACAGCTCCAAGACTTGAAGTTCAATTCCAAGTGGAATGAAATCCAAGGGCGTTGTGGCTCTATGAAAAGGGCTGGGAGAAAATGATCATAAGGAGGCCCGCCCTTTTGTATGACATTTCCTATCACAAATCACAGGTTGCAAAAAATCGTAGGTGCATGGTTTCCAGGACTTAATTTTGCTAGTTTTAACTGTGTAGATCAAGAATTGTGTTAAAAACTTACCACAATGATTTTAAAGTAGCTGAGCCACGATGGGTATCAGGTTAGCCATCTCTAATGACATCAAAATGAACCGACCAACATTTTTCTGATGGCGATCTATAAATATCATTGTTGGCAAATATGGCATTTTTAAACGATTTTAGTACCAAAATTTCTTAAAGGGCCTATGAAATGAAATTTTTTTGTAAGAAATTGAAACTTCTACATGTTGTTGCAAAACAAAACGAAAATTAACCCGAAAATTTGCACAGGAAAGTTTTTTTTGAGGGTTTTAAAAACGATCTGACAATCAGATAAGTGCGAGTGACAAATCAAGGCAACCTGCTCGTGAAAGAGGCTAATGCATGCTCAGAATATCAAAAGTGGCCAGAGTTGCAATTTGGCCTTTTTGAAAACCCAGTGTACTCATTCTTCAAAAACAAAAAGGCAATTTAGATCCATGGTTTGATGGCCAAATTTCTCCATTTTGGCAGTTTCTCAAAACCCCTTGGCCGTCATAAATTGATTTCGGCGAAGAAGCAAAATTTTGCTGAATTCTGGCAGCATGTTGCAAAAAATAACGAAAATGCAAAGGAAACAACAATTTTTGCACAGATAATATTCAAAAATTTTTAAAATAATTTCAAAATTGCAAATGATGAATGATGAAACAAAGCAAAAGATAACAGACAGTTTTAGATCGAAAGCAAGTGAAAACATTTGTAACCTACGAAGCAAATTTTGATTACGGTATCACTCTCAATAATTAGCAAAATTTAGCTTTTTTGTATACTGCGTTTAGCTGGCTGCATTTGGCTGCCAACCACAAAATATGTGGCTGCCAACCATTCAAAACAACTGGCAATATCCTGAAGGTGGAAAGTCACAATTTACTCCCAACTGGCTGCCAACCATTCAAAACAACTGGCAATATCCTGAAGGTGGAAAGTCACAATTTACTCCCAAAATGAAACCACAGATGCTGGTGTAAAGCGTTTGCATTTGGTAACGATAGTCAATGGATCAATGGAAACATTGTTTCTTTTAAATAATATCAGAATTATGCCAGAGTTATGCTAGATTCCAAATTATGCTAGATTTTATGCTAAAGGACGATTTTTGGCCAATATCATGTTAATATTACGCTAGATCAGTTTACACTGGCACCAGCCCAGAAAGAAGTGGCTGGAACGGGACTAGCAGGCTTGCCCCTAAATTTTTTACGGCCACGCCCTTTGAAACACCGGAAACTACTCCTTTCAGAAAATATTTGCGAGTTAGATAAAATACGAATTTATCTTTGATCAAACAAGATAAAGCACCATCTAAAAGAACAAAAACGTGTTCCCTGAAGAATCTTTCCGATGCTTCTCCAATTTGAAAAAACCTTAGCTGAATTGTTTTGCAACTTTTTCTGCAATCTACTGAAATCTACACAAATCCCAAAATACATTACGGGAAGGAAATCATAATCTTGGTCTTGGTTTTAAGGCTCATTCTTTTTTGAAGCAAGTCATAAAAGCAAACTAAATTGAGATGATGTCTTGAAGTTAAAGCTGTATACAGAGTCCATCTTACTTCAAAATAGCACACAACAATATCATCAAGCGCAATTGATTTTTCTCCGCATGTACTGAAGCTTCGAGCTCTGAAGTTTCTTAATTCTTCTTTATTATCCATTGCTTTTTTATCGCAATTGTCTTATAAAAAATGAGTGCAATACATATGGCTGGGATTGGGCATTTATTGCAAATTTGAAAAATATTCCCATTTCTTTCTTAGGCGTTTCGATTGGTATTTTATCCTGCACTTTTAAGAACATGCATTATTTACAAATCCATACGTTCTACAATTACAGATCCGCAATTTCAATTTACAAATCCACAAAGTGAGTCAGATCCACACTTATTTTAGGACCTGGGTACAACAGTATGAGACTTTGCGAAGAAGGACAGTTTGATGCGCTTAAAAACATTGGATATGTACCCAACGACCTCCGTGTACTAAACGTCAACTGCTTCAGTGTTTGCAAACATTGTGACTGATAACGGCGCTTTGTCACAGTCCAAAACGTGAAAAAGGGATATTAAACCTAAATTTTTAGACGGTTTCGCAAGAAAAAAACATCTCAACATATATCATTGAAATCAGCAAATTTTGCTTATAAAAAGTATGCCTTTATTTAAACTTGTCAAATTTCATTTTGTAGGTACATTAAAGGTTTATTCCACACTTTGTGTTAATTCGTTGTAGAAAAATTTCCTTTTAGTTTTTCAAAGATAGATCTTCCATCTGTTTCTGGTCATTTCTAAAGCTGAGGGTGGTCGGTATTCTGGTTTCTTAATTCTTTGTTTATATCGGGGCTCGGTATTTTCAACTCTTTATTACAAATTTCTTGTACTATAGTTATGTTATAAAAAATTTAGTACTTTAATGGAAATTATTAACATTAGATCTATCAAATGACTGCAAAACATTTCATTTGTTGTTAGAATAAGCACACGTTTTTTACTGGCATGTTTATTAAGGTTGTAGGGCAAAAAGAAAACGGCGCATGCACATTTAATTTTTAAATGATTTGTCTGTGCAGAAGACCGCAATTCAAGCCAAGCAGCGCAAAGATGATTGCTAGAAGCGGCTCTTGATTGCATATCATTCAAAACTGTTCGGCTTAAGCTGTGCTTAAGGAGGAAGATTGGCTGAAATTTATCCGAAAATAACATGAATTATACAACTTTGGCTTAGATAGTGGCTTTTCGGAACCCAAGATATTTTGTCCGCAGTCGATTAGAGGTTGATGTCCCGTTATCAATGAGCCCGATAACATTGCCGAAATTAAACTCATGGCCTCAATTCACTTTCACCAATGCCGCGTCCTAAATTTGCAACAAAATCCTTCTTATTTTTTTTTATCCAGGTCAAAAATCTCTGTTACGGCACTAGCCAATTTTGTATAGAATGCAAACCAATATGAGGAAACATGACACCTAATCAGTCGCAAGGAGAACTTGCTTTTAATAAACCCTTTTCGAATAAGAAACAGCGCTTGCCACCGAATCGAAATTCATAGCAGCTCCTCGCTCAGGGAAACAACGCAATTGTGGTTCTTCATTCTGATTGTTTATTTGTGCATTAAACCAACGATGCATGAATATCCTGGCCATGTAAAGATATACTGAGAACAATGGGGAACATTCTGCCTTTAATGGACAACATTTTTGAGTTCGGAACTTCCGAGTTTTGCACTTTCTAAGTTCTGGAATGAAAATTCATATGATTCTTAATTTTTCGCCCCCAGTACCGAAGTTTTTCATAAAAATTGTGCATTTATGTCAATTGAACATGGTATAGATGCCTGGTCATTGGAAAGAAACATTACTATCTGACTTTTAAAAGAATTATTTTCGAGAATTTCTTAAGGCTAAGGTGAAACTACAATGGTTTTTTGTTTTCGGGTCGTATCTGGGCTCGGTTTTTTAAAGACGGTTTCTCCAAAGGGAAAATTCGTGCAGACTTAACATGGAGTCTTCCTTTTATGGTTACTAATGTTTTTTGAGCAGGTACACCTTGTTTTTCGCAGCACTTTACACTATACACATGGAAAAAAGCTGAACATTGGATGAAGGGCTTTAACATCCTTGGTTTGTGTTGGGTGACGGAAAAACCATTTCCTACTCCAATCTGGTGGATTTGTACGTTCTCTGCACATAAAAAAGTAGCATGCTACCTGGATTTTTGAACCACTTCTTTAAAGAAGGGGAAATACTGACATTACCATATTAAAGAATACTGATAACACCTTAAATTTTTTACATATAATTCCTCTCCTTTGTGTTTCTGTGAACACTGAAATGCCAAAGTTTGACGTAGTTTGCTCTTGGCGTATTTGTTTGGCCCATCTTGTCTTTCAAGCTTGGCAAGTACAATCGATTCAAACGGAGTGCGGTTTTAAGATTTATGGGGGAGAATTTAAAGGACTGCTGTTTGTGTCATATTTGACAAAGAGCTATTTTTCATAACAGACCTGCTTCTTCCAATAACAATACACTTGTCTCTAGCAATAACTACATAAACGCAGAAGACTAAGACGATGGTTATTCTAATGCCATGTGTTTTCTGCTTTAAAGTTAGATTAGGTAGTTATAAACAAATTATTAAGGATTCGATCATGTTTAAACACAGGTATGCCAGAAATATGACACGTAACTGATTGAAATTGCACGAATCGTAATTACTTTGTAATGTAATCGAATCCTTCAAATTTCAGACAGTCAGAAATTTGCCCAAAATTATAACCTCATGTTTAACCAAAGGCTTCTCACACATATTGACAAAAAGGTCAACCCGGGCGAAGCTTCATTTTGTTTTTGTTTCCATAATTACGTTTAACTTTACAGCAAGTCAAATAAACTCATTTAAGTTTCAAGATGATTAGAAAATTTACTCCTAGGAAAAGGGAACTACTTCGATCTCCCGTGATGGGAGCTTTTAAGCACTTTCGCTAACAACTTGATCCGTAAAAAAGTCGAAAAAACCAGTCAACAGAGAGTTCAACTATGGTGAAGCAATCTATAAATATCGCAAATTATCTGAAATAAAACTAATCAAATACGAAGAACTAAACATAAAACAGCCTTTTCATCAAAAGTTACTTTATTGCCTCAAGTTAGTTGGCATCATGAGTTTAATCTTTTGGCAACGGCAGAAATGTTAATTTTTAGAAGATTGAAATGAAAAACTCACCTGCAGCTGAAATACTTTCCCCAACTTGGCAGAACACTAAATGCACGATAAAGGTAGCAGCAGCTATAAATACAAGATTTGTAGCGATCATTTTCGAAGGACTTCACTGATCTCTAGCCTGCTTGGAAACGAATGATGCTGCAGCAAAATCTGCACCAATAATTAACGGTTTGACTTGTCTTTTGCCTTGACCCAGGTTATTTAATGATTGTATTTATACAATCGATCCCTCTTCTCAAATGTCTAGCGGTGTTTTTGTCTTTTATTAAAGCCATCTATAAAACAATGACACTGGAGTTTAGTGTAACCCGACAAACAGTTCAAAACGTTCCTTCTGGAAATATCAGGGCAAAATGCAATAGCGATGTAGGGCTAAAATACGGACCATGATTGGCGGGTCACAGAAAACCCATATTACGAAGAGCAAATTCCCTGCGATTGTCGATTGAATTCATGTGACCACAGCAAAAGTTTCAAAGTAACAGCATATCCAATTTTATAGGGTCACTTTGGTTTATCTTGGTAACAGCCTATCCAATATCCAACAGTAATAGATTATTTATGGCACATGGTAGAGCCTGGTAAATGGATCGTAACATTGAAGATCTTCTTCAGAATAACGAGATGACTGAGTGAGAAAATCTTAAGACAAATATCTTTTCAGAGGGATTAAATGGACAGGGTAATAGCCAAATCTTATTTAAAGTTCACAGCTAAATTACTTAATCTGTTTAGGTTTCCCGTTCTTATCAGGTTCACGATGGTCCGGCTATTCTATACTTGGCTATCGCATCGCATTTAGCTGAATATGAATAGACGTGACAAGATCGTCTATTTCAAGTCTATTCAGCCGGCTTCCTTTCTCAATCCTCCGTCAGTAACACAAAGTTGAACAGACGCTAAATTCTAAGAATCAATAAGTGGTCACATAAAAACCAAAAACATAATTGTTATCCTCGTTGTTCTTTGCAGCAACGGCCGCGCTAAGCTTGTTAAAGAGCTCCTTCAAAGTGTGTCGAATTACTTTTTAGATTCATCGCTTCAGTGTCGTATTATAGCTCAAAAACAGAAGAGCAATCCTCTTCTACGCAACATAGGTAACATCTTTAGAGAGCGGTACAGCGACCCTTTTTATAAACAGATACGGGCAAATAATGTCAGATTTACCAGACTTTATCGTTAACCGTCAGGTTTCCCTAGAATATCTTATAAAGTCCAATTATCTTACTCAAGTACATACGAACTCCACTTGAACCATAATTTTACGCAGCTGCTGTAAAAATCAATGACGATAAGATATTATCCTATTCAAGTTGAATAACAGCATTCGAGATAGTCAAATGCGAGGACGTTCGCACGTTCATATTTGGTGAAAATAACCGTACGATATACGACACATTTTTGATGAAAAAAGTTGCAGAAGCTGGAGAAATTCAAAATGAAAAATAGCTAAAAGTGCTGAAGCAAATTTTGCGAAAGAAAAATAATTTAGGCATGACAAAGCGAAAAGTTAAACAAAACTGATTTACTTATCTGCAGAAAATTTATTTCTTAGGAAGTCTACCTGATAACAAAATATGACAACTTGAATATTCAGGTATAGCCGGGGCGTATTAGCAGAGGTTATTATAAGAATTATCGCAACTGTGTTTCAATGCCAAAAGAAAATGGCTTTACTTCCAAACTTGTAATGATCAAAAATGGCCGTGCGAAAGAAAAGAATTCATGAAACTACAGTCATCAAAACATTGGATCATAATATTGACCGTTTTCCATGCGGCCTCTCTAGTTAAGGACTCAAAGTATAGCGAATAAAAAAACTCGAATCGCATCTACGTAACTTCTGAAAACAAACGTGATTTGTTTACATCAAACTAAAGAATTCACGACAGCGGTAGCAATGCATGGGCCTAATCCATCTTGCCTTCGCCGAATTATTATTAAATATGAACCATTTTTACATGTATGCTAGAGAGTTCTTGCGGCATTAAGATATTTTGTTGTGACGCATGTAGAACCACGGTGAAGTGTACACGCTGCTTAGTTGAATATCTGACCGAAGCTGCACACCTCTACTACGTGAGCAGAATAAATTATGCAAAGCAAGCCGGGACACTGATTTATTGAAAAAGGCATGCTGAGCTTGGGTATTACAATATAATAGCAAAACATATTTTTGGGTGAAAATAAACCCAATTATTGAAAACAAATAACATTAAGCTACTGATTCCTAGAGATCTAAAGTATCTATCGCATACATCAGCAAAAGAATTTGGAAGCCTCGTGGACCAGACTGTGGAATATTCGCGCCACGTTGCGTTTGGTTTGGCACACATAAGGCCTTTCTGTGCACACATTCTTCGAAAAAAAACATAAATTAAACATGACCTAAACGATACATGTATGAGTTAAGCGTGTTTGCCAATGTTTAATGAAAAGAATAGGGTAGTTTGCATGAAAATAAGGCATCAGAACCAGAAGAAATGGCCTTATATTGTTCTAAAATTAAAAGATGGAAAACTAGACTGCTCTTACTTACTTTCAACATCATAGGTTTACAAAAAAATTGACACTACAGAGAGCTGCGGCTTCATATATTGTAAATCTACAAATATTTATGCTCGCGCTGTTGACAAAAAAAGAAATAAAACAAATAATTCAAAAAAAGAACTATGGGTCACTCCAACTTTTTAGTTAACAGCTTATAAAATGTCTAATGATTTATAAATAAAGATTTATCTGAATGATATTTGCATGAATTGAAACACGCTCCAAGGAAAGTTAAACTGAATTCATTACATCCACATAAAGTTTGACAAGTAAACCCTTGCGTTAAAGTAGACCCTTGCGTTAGACAATAACTAGAAGGTGCACAAAATATAATAAATACAGGACACATAAGGATACATAAGGGGACTTAAATTACACTGTACAATAATACTACCAATAAAGCGCTTTTCTACAGTACAAGTCAACGCAGATCAAAGCTTGAAGTTTAGTCTGGTATAGCATACTTTGCTGTCCATTCCTTGGCGACAGAAAAAAATTTCGCACGATCCATTTTGTAAATCCTAGCAATTTCTGGCACCAACGGATCATCTGGATTTGGGTCACATAGTAATGCCAAGATTGAAAGCAACACTACAAAATATGCCAGATAACAAGGTTAACACTAATGGATGATATGGCATGTGTGAAATTAGGGGCCGGGGAGGGGGGGGGAGGGTGGTGGGTGTCAAAAATTGCTTTATCATAATCATGGACCTGCCTTAAGGTTTGAAGAATACATTAATAGGAAAAACTATCAGACAAAATACAGTTTTCTGACATCAAAAAAGTACACATGAAATGGTACAATTTTATGACAAGGCACCGTATATTTGAAATGGTACAATGTCTGAAATGGGTCGGTTTTCTGGCAGGGAAAAGCATATTCGGTTCAGTAGAGTATATCTTACATTAAAAAGTATATGGAACAAGTTAAGCCCCGGCGAAACTATTGCAACATTTCGCAAATATATATAAAAAATGGCGGGGATAAATATTTGGCTGACTTAATCATTCGTGTTGAATGATGATGGATAATCCTGGATGATGTTAAAGGAAATTTGACTTCGATAAAATGCTGGATGTTGTTGGACGATGTTGGATAATGCTGGATGATGCTAGAAGAAGTTTGACTTTGATAAAAATACTCGATGTTGTTGAACGATGTTGGATAATGCTTTTTTTACATCAATCAAAAGTTTAAAAACAAGGTTAATGCATGATACTATGACATTTGTAGCGAGGAAAGATGCAGGGTCACCGAGTACTCACTAAAAATGCCACTTACAATGATCTAAGAAATAACAACGTAAATTAACAATAAAAGAAAAGTTAAGATACATATACACGCTAAATCAAGACAAAGAAAACAAAAAACAAAAAAAGAGGAAAAAGAGGGGTTAGGCTGCTGTTTTTCCAGAAAGTTTAATTGAGACATCCAGAAGTTTTAATGAATGAAAAAGTTGCTTCTAGGATGATTCTGTTTGCAAAAGTGCTTTTATTTGGGGTTCTCATAGAATAACAAATGACAAAGATCCTTTGTGTTCATGCTAGCAACATCATATCCGACATCCGAGACTTGACCAAGGAGATCTTGGAGCTGAGCTGTAAACTGGGGGCAGTGGAGGAGGTAATGCTCATTATCTTCCTTTCATGTCCCAAAAATACAAACTGGACTCAAGCATTCAAAATTATGCCGAAATCTGTGTTAATTCAGAGGACTGAAGCTAACTAGAAGCCTTGTTAAAAGCTTGATACCCACAATATCATAGATGTTGCAAACAGGGTTTTTCACGGGTCTGATGATTCGAAGCAATTTGCTCTTGAAAACGGTGAGAGAAGGAGAATCTTGAACAAATTTGTCTAACAGGTTCCCCTCATATATTGTGTTATGAAAATAAGAGCTGTAAAGGGGATAGTGCCACCTACATTTTGCTGATAACAACGCGGGTTTCTTAAATTATACTCAACGGAGCGCTGTTCAGGTATCTAATTGAAAAGGTAATCTGGACTTTTGGACGTTGTTAATGAAAAGAAATGACATAATTGTTGGCACCACCGTCGGTCATAAAGTGTTTACCATCTGAGCTCTTCAAGCAGCCTTCGCCTACTTGTACCTATCCACGCTCCAGTAACAGCTAGTGCTGCTTTATATTGAGTCTGTTCTAGTTGTTGCGTAAGGTTCAGTTGCATATCAGGGTCATATTTATGGTAAATTATGTCTCCATGGTCTTAGTGAGGTCTCACATAAAGCTTGTTGGTTTGGTCAAGGGCCTCTTTTGATACATATTTTGAAGGTATTTCAAGAAACCAATTCTTCTCCGTGATTTCAAGAAAGCCTCTCGAAAATGACTTTTGAAATTTAGCTTTGAGTCAAGAAGAACCCAAAGGTGCTGGTGTTCCAATTTTGAGTCAACGACCTTCTCTCCCAATTTAAAACCGACGTGGATTGGCTTATTCCTTTTACATGAAAATACAACCCCCTCTGTCTCGTCAGCATTAAACTGCATTTCCATTGCCATGCCCATAAGCTAACTTTTGCCAAATCTCTGTTTAAGTCAAGAGCAGCTTCATTTTAATTTTGAACGGTAGTAAAGAAAGACGTGTCATCAGCAAATAACTTAATACCACATTCAACATTGTTGGTTATATCATAAATGTGGATCAAGAACAAAAACGGCCCAAGACCTGATCCTCGAGGTACATCTGCGGTTATTGTATCCCACTTTGAACATTGTCCATATAATACAACCCTTTGCTAAAGATCTGAGAAAAAACTTTTAACAATCCGAAGAACATTTCCCTGTAGACCATTGAATTCAAACTTGTAAATGAGACCCTCATGCCAGACCCTGTCAAATGCCTTTGAAAGGTCAAGGAAGATGGCACGTGTTTCTTTACCAATAGCTTCATCGAAGGTTTAATAAATATTATGTGTGATTAGCAATAACTGATTGGTAATCGAATCACGGGACGAAACCTTGATTGATGAGGCGATATGAGACCATTTATACAGAGGGACTCGTGGATGGCATCAAATAATAGCTTTTCAAAACATTTTCTAAAATTTGGCAGTAGGGGAAGGTCAATAGTTGTTCTTGTTCTGTTTGCTACTCTTTTCATGCATAGGAATTATGTCTGCTTTCTTCCACTGGGAAAGGTAAATTCCTGTTTCAAGGCATCTTTAAAAAAAGAACACAGAGGATCAACTATCGAATTGTCACATGTGCCTTTTTGGTATCTAGAGAACGAATGATTTGAAGCAACATTTTCCTGCCTATAACTATATCTAATAAGGGCGGTGGGAACTGCGGAATAAATGTTGGGATAGTACTACCAGTTTCTATCTCTCTGCATTCAGCAACAAAGAACTCATTAAAAATATTTGCCTTTGCTTCTACATTGGTAATAAATTAGCAATTTTCAATCAGAGGGAGATGACAGAAACTGCCTTTTTATTGAGAAGTCTGTTGAATAGGGACCAATATGATTTAGCCCCAGATACGTTATTCGATGAAGTTCTGCCAAGTCCGATGTAATAATCATTTTTAGCATTGGTAATCATTCTTGATGTTATGTTCTGGACATTTTAAACAGAGTTCCAGTCTTCTTGCTTCCTACTACGCCTAACAAACTTAGCATATACTCTGTGTTTGCGCTTAATAGCAGTTTTTATTTCCAGCTTCATCCATGGTGGACCCTTATCGTCAAATTTGACAACTTTATTTATGATATACTCCGAAATTCAGATAGAGCATTTCTACCATTTCAGTAGCTGTCCAGTCGCTCAGTTGGAATAAGACATTCAGTTCTTATGGTAAAGAGACATTCAGTTCACCGTGGATAATTTGATGCTGACAGTTTTCATCCAGGGAAGGGTGAACACCATAGTCAACAAACATATTTGGCTGGTCAGTAATAATTAAGTCAATGGAAGAACATTCTTTATTTCTTAAGGTGGATTTCCTCTTCACGGTATGGACGGTAAACAGAAAACGGTATACGGTACAAGCATGCGCAGATATTTTGACATTCAAGAACGGTACGCTTACTGTACCGCTTTCCGTTTTAGAAAGTTGGAATCGAGGCAACTTTTTTACACGGAATTCTTACCGTTTGATTTCTCAAGCAATCATGTTCGAGGCATTGCGTCATAACGCCAGCAACAAGCTGTGCTTCGAACTGGGTCACAGTCGTCCTGAAATACTGGGAATAATATTACATATCATCGGTGGAAGCAGGCAGAGTTGGAGAGTCCCCCTTTAAAAAACCGATAATAAACCCTTACTTTCTGCTATCATTTTTGAGAAATTTTTTGAGAGATTCCTCTTGTATTTTTCTTAGCGACACTGGTATTTTCATAGTTTCCTGGGTGGGACTTTTCTTTTGCTTCTTTCTTGAAACGTGCTAACAAATATGCTCTTCTCGTATTTCTTCCTCTTTTAACTTTTCAATCTTCTTCCAAAAGAAAAAGCATTACAAAGTTGATTAGCATAAACATGCCTTCTTTCCCCTTCCTCGGACATGTTTCATTGCACGAAATGGAAATGGAAAGGAAGCCAAGACCATTTGTTTCCATAAGTTCGTCTAAAGCAGTACCTTCGGGCCATTCAATAACCTCAGTCCACCACATTGAAGATCTACAGTTGACATCACTTATTAAAATCACGCAATGTGGATTTTCACCTTTCATTTTATTGATGGTCTGTTGCAAGCTATCAATGAAGATTTAAAAATCCTCGCTGTTTTGGCTTGGACTACGATACATGGTCCCGAGGAAAACATTTTTAACGTGCTATCCTAATTTCAGTAATGATAATTTCACGTAAAAGCTCAATAGGTTAGTTCATCTCTTGATAGGTAGCCCTTCGAGAAAATAAAGACACACTCCACCAATTTTGGTTTTGCTCGGATGATCACTACGATATATCTCTCTGCTGAACCTTTCAATATAAATTTCATCGCACAGTTTGATGAAGCATAGACTCAGAGATAGCAATAATGTCAAATTTGTTGAGGGCATCATACGTTTCAGTAAGAGGTTTCTTTCTTTGATCTCTAGCACAAATGCTATTTAAGCTCCAATGAAAGAACTTCGAAGATTCATTGATCTCTCGGCCAGGATTTGGTTGAATGTCTCCACATGAAAGCAGTTGGCTGAATGAGCTGCACCCACCAATCTGAAAGATCTCTAGCGCGGTCCCAATAAGAAGAGCAAAAAGAATTTGCTGCAGTTACCACAAAGGTTTCTGTGAGAACGCCTTGCTGTCAACGAGAATGTTTTTACATAATTTTGGTAGCTCAATGAATAGCGAGAAAACAAGCCAAAGGTTAACAATCATATGTGAATTTATTTTTGCGAAGATAAGACTGACATCTGCACTTTTTGAGGTAGCAGCTGGCACAAGAAACGCAGCAAGGTGGGTCCAAAAGAAAGAATCAACAAGTCATAATGGCAATGAAAGAACAGATGAACAGATGAACAGATGAATAATAATGGAAACATTTCATTTTCAATTAAACTTAAACCACAATTACAAATCTCACTATTACAAGGTAATTTGCAATTGGCTAGCCTGGTTTTACAAGAAAAAACTGAGAAAAACATAAGATAAAAGTCGTAAGGTAATAATCGTAAGGTAAAAAGAAAAACTGAGAAAAAAAACAACCAAAGTTAAAAGGATAAAAACAGCAACCAAAGTTAAATTATAATAATAATGATAATAATAACAATAATAAAAGCACTTATATTGCGCCATATATCCACAGGGCCCATAGGCGCATTAAAGTTGAAAATATTTAGTCTAATTCAAAATGTATGTGAAAAAGGGGTAAAAGTTTACAAGGTTTTAATTAAAATCCAAGTTAAAACAATTTGTCAAATAAAATACTTTCTAATTGTGTCTTTAAATAAGTTTTAAAAGTTTCTTACGTTTTGCATGCTCTAACCGAGTAGGGAAGTCTGTTCCAGAGGGAAGGGGTAAAAGCACGATCACCAGTCGTAACTAATTTGGTCTTTCCTACATCTAATAATAGTTCATCACCAGCAAATCTAGTGCAACAAGAAGCCTTGCGTAATTTTAATAAGACTTTAAGATAGTTCGGCGCTAGATCTTCTACACACTTAAAGGTTAGGATGGGTATTTTGTACTCTTTCCTGCTTGTAATTGACAACTAATGAAGGCTCTTCAATACTGGTGTTATGTGACAACGTCTGCGTTTACCTGATAAAATTCTGGCAGCAGCATTCTGGACCCTCTATAGCTTTTGTAACTCACATGATGGTAACCCATATAAGAGAGAATTTTTGCAGTCAAGTCTTGATATGACAAATGCTTGAATAGCTTTCTCTGCAGCCTCCCTGGTAAGGTATCTTCGAGCAAGGCTCAATGTTGTGTAAATGATATCTAGCTGATGTTTTTAATAGAAATAGAAATTCCATATCAGTTTGTACTTCCACTCTGTTTGTTGATGATACAAAATAACGAACCCACTTATGCGCATTTTTGGCGCAATTTCGAATTGAAACCAATCGCACAGGTTCTAACCTTGAGGCCCCGTTCACACTGCTACGTTTTCATATGAAAACGGAGCAAAACTTATCCGTTTTGGCCTTCCGTTCACATTGCTCCGATGTAAAAACGGAGGCTTTTGAAAACGCTAACGAAAACGCATAAATCTGAAAACGGTCCGTTTTGAAAACGGTCCGTTTTCAATGTGAACACCAACAACGGAGACATTTGAAACGCTAACAACAGCAGCAACATTCGATGCGGAAGGCGCCAAGGATCAAAATACAGTGTTTTTTTAAAATGGCTGACATTAGAGAGATAACGACTGTTATTCAAATGCTGTTTGCTTTGGTTTCTGTTCGTAGTTTCATAGCAGTCATTGCAGCGTTGAATCAAAGTTACAATGCACGTAGGAAGAAATTAATGTTGAGATTTTTAATGGCTAATAGATCCATTCACCAAATCAGGTGCAATTTGATTGACAAACGACGCCAGTCGAAGGAACGTCGATTTTGGGTTCGCCCTGGCAGAACGAATGCTTGGTGGTCAAATATACTGGCAGAAGAAGAATCGTCATCTATCCATGTAAATACATCCTCGTTTCGTTTAGGTGGCATGTTTAAGCTTGAAAGCAATTTCTTGATTAAATTTCTTATCGACTCCTTGATGCAAAATCGAGAATGGCGTGGCTTCGTGTGTGTGTTTCGGTTTGGCGCCAGTTTTGTGGCAAAACGACTCGTGTTGAAAGGAAGGCCGCGACTGCGTTTTCGCTAGAGCAATGAGAACGCCTACCGTTTTCATAGCGTTTTTATTTTAAAACGGAGCAGTGTGAACGGACCGCGTTTTATTCACAAAAACGGATAGAAATGAAAACGGAGCAGTGTGAACGTAGCCTGAGATGCCAGTTTCTGCCAATTTTACAATATTTATATTGCCAATATTGACTTTTACTGACAATACTGACAAATTAATTCAGTTCTTCTTGAAAAAAGTGGAAATACTCTCAGATAACCTTTAAAAGTCCTACTTACATTTAAATTTCCTTTGAAATACCTGTTCATCTCAATTGAATTACATCTCAAATTTCTCAGTCCAGTAAGCCTATCAAAGCCGACTTCGAGGGTTTACGGTACCCCAAAAGAACATAAAAACGATTAAAATTAAAAGAAAAAAGCTGAGAAAAATACCTTTCGAAACTGTCAGGGCAGGACTCCATTGGCTTCGCAGAACATCTAAACAAATACTTCCATTGCTGTTGATATTGGGGTGATAGATTTTTGTGTTGAAGGCAACCTGATGGAATATCAATAATGTCATATTTAATTTTCTCGGCTGAACAACTAAACATTTAAGCATTTACAGTCTTGGCGAGTTACTGAAATGTTGATGGCTAGATAAAAAAAATCAAATCTTTAAAATGTATCATTTTCTACACAAGATCATAATAGATTATAACTCAACGACAAAAGTCTAAAGCGATGTATAGGAAAGGTCTGTCATGCTGGATTGAAGTCAAAAAAAGTGGTAACAATAGAGGGTCGCAATCATTTCAAATTCCGCAAGGTAACAAAATACCTCCATCGTCGATAGCGAGTAGGAGCTTATAGCCAAGGATTGTCTGCAAAGTGGAGAGATTAAAAACAAGGGTAGTGAAAATCTTTTTGTAAAAACAGTCGACCCAGATTTACCTTTGGAGGCTTGAATGGATAATCAGACGGAAACTGTATGTCAAGATAAAATATTCCATCGTTGTATGGACTGTCAGGCTGAAACAACAAAATTTTACCGTAGAGCTTTGAAAATTGGTTAGCAGATACATTGTAAACAAACAGAAAATATACAAAATATCTAGCCATTAGCATTCAAAGTTTTTTGCTGAAAATTTTAAAAATTTTCAAAAGCTACTTAGGCAAACAAAACCCTAACGTCAAGTCGTTACATCAAGAGAAGTTAAATTCAAGTGACTTTTGCATCCAGGCACAAATTGCACTTTAACAACATTCCCTTTCTTCGTAATGTTAAAGAGGATTTACGCATTGTAACTGTTCGTGATATCATGGGATGAAACCGTCTCTGTTGAAATTTTAAAGATAATTATTGGGCTGTCAAAAAGGAAATGCGCCAGTTGATAAAACAGGACAACTGGAAGCAAAAATAATCCTGGCTTGCCTTGTTCCAATTCTTAATAAGATTCTGCACTCTAATACGGGCATATGCTAAACCGTTATGTGCTATAATTCTTATAAAAAGCTGGAAAATGTGATTTATTTCTGAGCTTCCGTTTACAATAATAATGTCAATAAAACCTTGTTTTCATACTTCATTTTATTTCGTAAAAGAAGTTATATTTACTATTTACAGTTACACACTTCACTGTCATTAGGTAGAGTACAGTTGGCTAGTCGGTTAATTTCTACGTTATACAATCATTTTCAAATCAAAGGGCTTTTTTGCAAAACAGAATTGATAGTAACTGCATCTGATGGCGATACTCATTATAATGTTCATCATTCTTTGTTCGGCAGATTTATCAGAGCTTGGCTTTTCGAGCATAGCTACCAACGGACCAAATGAACCTCCCGCTATTCTAAGTGTACTCGTGGCTGCCTCAGGCGAGAAGCAATTTAAACGCTAGATTCAAAACTTATGGTCAGCCCTAGCAATTAAAGAGGGGAGCTGCTTGAGGTTCGGGCTAGATCTAGTCGAGAAGGATGTCCTGTCATTAGACTCGGAGATGGCAATGTGGACAGATCATGATCACAATTTCCAGCCGCCTATTACTGAAAGTATTTATGCAAGAGAAAGTAAGACTTAGTGGTGGCACCAGGTGTATCGACTCTTGTCAACATATGATTTGCAGCTTGGGAAAGCCAGCTTGAGGGTTTCAAATAGAAGCTGAAAGAACATGCAGATGTTTGAGACGAATGACTCTTTGAATTTTGGAGGACAGTCATTGGAAGTTAATCTGCCAGTTAACTTGCTCTTGTAGCTTCGACATGGGCTACAAACAACTATAATCAGGGTATGAAAATAAACTAAATAACTGCAAGTTGGCTGAAAATAGTAAACTTGTACATGAAACTGTAGCAGTTTGTCGCTTGGTCTGAATCTAGCCTATGCCCACTACCAAATTAAAACCTGTGACAATAATCCCGATGCTCTTTTTATTTTTTCTAGTAATGTTTTTCACATAAACATATGAATCTGCTTTATTTTGAACATAACCATGTGTGTTTGTGAAGAGCCGTTAAAATACTTGTCAATCACTCTTTTACAGCATCTCCTTCGTTACTTGTGAACGTCATCTTGATTTCTTGTATCTACATAACCTTTTCGTGGCTTCATATAGATCTCTTCATCTAAATTCCCACTCAAAAAAGCATTTTTCACATCTTTTTGAACGATTTCCACGCTCATGGCATTGGTACTGCAAGCGATTACTCAAATGGAATGTGCCATTGTAACGGATGCAAAACTTCATTATAATCGACACCTTGTTGTTGAGAATATACCTGAGCCGCTAGTCTGGCTTTGAACTTGTCTACAGTACCATCACCTCTGTGTTTCACGTTAACCACCCATTTTGAGCCTACAATATTGATATCATAAGGCAATGGAACAAGTGTCCATATTTCATTCTTGAGCAATGAATAATACTTTGAGTCAATCTCTTCTATCCTTTCATCTGCATACTCACCATTCGATTCAACTTCACGAACACCCTACATACATCAATTCAATTGAAAGATCATATCTATCGGGGGGAGGGTCACACCTCACTGTTTCGCTATACACATCTCTACTAGAGAAATGTCGCCCTCGACATTCATCTGCTTAAGTATAAAACTCACAGTCAAGATTAAGTTATATAACGTTTTACGTTCTTGCAGAAATAGTTCTTCTCTTCTACTTTTTCTTCGACCGTTTTAGTTGAAACCATAGATAAATAGAGTGAGTACTCTACCTGGCGGGAGACATTGTCTTCAATTGTGCCTGCTTCGGATTCACTTATCGACATAAACTGTTTGGTACTATTGACTGTAGTTACCTTCGCTGTTGTGAAACCTCTTTGAAGAACTGTAGCGAGCAATTTCTCAAAGTAATAACCGGCTTCATATTTTCTTAAAGCTTAGAGCCAATTTCTCAACAAAATTCTTTCGAATAGAATAATTGTATGTACATGAAATTTTTTATCTGAAATGTGGCATCACTTGCATGGGTGGACACATGTGTCTCCTTGGTGGATAAGCTGTTACATAATTTGACATTGGGAAGACATTGCAAAATGGGTGGGTGAAAAACATATATAACATTGAAGGCAGCCGTGTCTGTAACTGTGTGCACACAGGAGTTGTGTAAGGAGTAGGAACCTGCAAGTTTGAACAGTACATTGGATTGCCGGGAATCTTCATCAGAAATCTTGCTATGCGGAGGATCGAGCGAAAATTAGTTGCTAAACCTCCGTCTCTCATGCCAATTTCAAAAACCGTAAAAAATGCATGCTGTACTCAATTTACCTTTCTTCTCCTTTACAAACTTTGTCACGTGTGTCTAGGGCTCGCAGTAGAAATTGTTGTGCTGTTTCTCCTGTTTGCTGTACGCATGACACCAGCTCTGGCAATAACTCTAAAGTTGCTTTTTCTTGATAAAAGATGCGCAAATTTTTCCGCAGTTGTGACAGGAACGTTCGGGCAACGTTAAAATATAATTTCGTAGGCTGCTTTGGGGATGAGATTGCTTTCATCACCCCTCGACCACCTCTTCTTCCGAATACCCCTGTTTTAAGCTACATTCAATCTAATGTATGAGAGCAACATATGTCAACTTTCAGCTTGTAAAGTTTCTCCAACTTGTCCAGATAACTTAGGCCCTGTTCACACGATACCGGATTCATTTCATATCGGATTCACTGACCCAATCCGATATGAATATTAAGCTCTGTTCACACGATACCGGATTCATTTCGTATCGGATTCACTCCTGTTCACACGATGACGCTACGCTTCAACACTGCTCCGAAAAATCCATTGTCTTGAAGCAGTTACGTAGCAACGTGGAATGTTATTCGTTGTTTTGCTCTTTTTCTGATTGAATGCATTCTTTGACATGACGGAACTGATACGCTGTTTTGTTTTGAAGAAGAAGTATTTCGAAATCAATTTTCAAACAATCTCATTTTCCTTTGCATTAATCTTGTGAAGCTCATCATCATCGCAAGGAGCAAATTTATTGTTTAACTGCGATCCACTGTCATTTTGTGTCTTGAAAAGAGTGCCAAACTGTTTTTAAAAACCCCGAAAACGAAGCTGCCTTTTGAAACAGAGGTTCCGGAGCGAAACCGTATCGGATTCATGCGTTCACACGAGCTTAAAAGCAATCCATTATGACTCCATTCCACATTCACAGCGGAATGGTTTGACTCTGCAAAAACGATACGGAGCGTATCGGATTCAAGCGTTATCGTGTGAACAGAAGGCCTATCCGATATGAAAAGCGATCTGATACGAAATGAATCCGGTCTCTGTTGAACGGGGCCTCAAAATCGCGTCAGAAAAATGACGTTGTCAGTACTTCCTGAGACCCCAAGCTATACTCCTTTGTGAGGTATTGATCAGGAACATTTTCGGACTCTCCTTTTCAAGATTTTAATCTACGGCATCCCGAATTAATTTCAGCGATACAAATCTAGATGGGTTGTCGGTTGAATCAGGAATGCTCAAATACCTTCACAGGCCGAACCGTGTTCTTGAATCACAACGAAGCAGTTCGGTTTCAAATTGCACACCTAATTGTTCTACCCTTTCTTCGATTTCGTTCTGAGCTATTTACGGCATAATATAATCAATTCAAATGTTCAGAATAAAGATTAACACAACAGAAAGCATAGAATTACATCAATGGGTTGAAACAACATCAGTTTGGAGAAGAATCAAATACAACAATGGTCTCATGATACCACGGAAACATGCGCCTAGGCATTAAGTTGAATCATGCTGTCCCTTATTAAATCATGAACAAAATAAATCAATACCAGAAAAGTAAAATACGTAAGACATTAAGACCAGATCAGACAACAAGGTAAAATGAAAATAAACTTAAGTCGGCTTGAAAGACACAACTTTTAACCAGTGCCCCTCTTCTCTCAAAATAGAACTACTCGCGAAGGTCAATTTACGTCATTGAAACTCTTTAGTGCTCTGTATTTAAGCTTGGGTATGTCACTACTTTTGTGCTTTTTCCAACGAGAGAGAGAGAGAGAGAGAGAGAGAGAGAGAGAGAGAGAGAGAGAGAGAGAGAGAGAGAGAGAGAGAGAGAGAGAGAGAGAGAAAGAGAGGAAGAGAGAAAGAGAGAAAGAGAGAAAGAGAGAAAGAGAGAAAGAGAGAAAAGAGAGAAAGAGAGAAAGAGAGAAAGAGAGAAAGAGAGAAAGAGAGAAAGAAAGAAAGAGAGAGAGAGAGAAAGAAAGAGAGAAAGAGAGAAAGAGAGAGAGAGAGAGAAAGAGAGAGAGAGAGAAAGAGAGAAAGAGAGAAAGAGAGAGAGAGAGAAAGAGAGAAAAGAGAGAAAAGAGAGAGAGAGGAAGAACGAAGATCAGTAGACGAGAGATCAGCAAACGAAGACAGAATTTACGTTGGCATGCCTTTTTACTCGCAACACTCGAAGACACTACTCACATCAACACAATTCAGCGATCACATTTTTCGCGGGGTTACACCTTATTGCTTTTACAGGGGGTAACGTACAGGCCCTACACTTCAGTATCTATCCATTC